TTTGACAATCTACCTGCCTCCAATGCAATCATCAGCATTGGGCTGAGGGCAACCTATCCACACGGTTGATCACAACCTTGCTAGCCGCTGGCTAGAATAAAAAACGACATAGCTCCTTTTCCTAGTCACGAAATGTCTAAAGATGAAGCCATTTTTACCCAAGTTCCTGTACTGTGTTGATAGTCCAAGTCCATTGATGGTCACAGCATGAATTTGATATCACAATAAGTCAAAATATTGAAGGGCTTTTGCACAATTAGTAAAATCTTTGAATTGACAATTTAATTTGGTCAACAAGCTCAATTCTTACCAAAACTCACTATGACTATTGTAGTTGGAAGCAGAAGGCATACTTGTTTACTTCCAATTAGCAAAGGTTCAAGTCATGGTAGCATAACCCAAAATAAAGAATAGAAAACACTCACAGAAAAAATAGAACTCTGAACAAATGTACCAGGTTGAAAACAATGGAGAATAAGACCTGATGCTAATGATCAAGATGAAGACCTCCAGTCTTGGCAGGCATAAATTGCTTGGTCCCCAAGCTCTTCCTCAATTCGAAGCAATTGCCAAAACAAAAAAAAAATTGGACCACTAATTTCAGAAATTCTTCACTATTCACTTTAATCATGATTCATGACAAGCTGAGAAGGGGTTGGTTCTAAAAGAGAAAAGAAAATGATTGAGAAATAGGAAGTAGAGCAACTGCATTGTAAACTCATTGGAATTTAAAAGCACTGCTCTGGCATACAGATTGTCTGATGTGAAGAAGTCAAAGGTTTTATGGACATTACAAATAATGGGTTACAGAAACCACTCCTAGACAAATCAGAAAGCCAAAACCAATGTCAATGCTATTATATAAATTAATAAATAGATGTTACCAAATCAGTCTGGTCTTTGGAATGCGCCAATGGTGGTAGGTATGGAGTTGCATAAGACGAAATCAAGAAAAAGGCAAATAAAGTGTGATTTGAAAAGAAAACATGGTTGTATTTTGCCAGTTGCTCCCCTCTACAAGGAGCACTAGCCTTGATCTGACTTGCGCCAAGGCGAACAGCCAAATCGGCTATAAAGGAATCTTCAATTTCCCCCCATCGATGTGATGCCACCATTCCCCAGTGAGCATCCTTCGGCAGTTTCACCACTTCAATAGCCTCCGTCACAGTTCCAATCTGATTTATCTGTTTTAGAACAATATATAATTCTTAGACAGATTTTTAAAAAGTGAATCTGAAGATTTTGGACTTTCAATTTTCAAACATAATTTATCCTCACATAAAAACATTCATTTCTCCCCCTAGCACCTAATTATATTGCTGCCTTTTTATAACAGAGATAATATCGTAGCCACCTGAAGATCCTAACGATGACATAGAAGAACATATGTGTTGAATTAAAAAATTTAGTTACCTTGAGAATAAGAGAATTGCAAGCAGATTCCTGAATTGCTTTTTCAATTCTTTTTAAATTTGAATTCAACAAGGCATCACCAACCACCTACAAAGTGACCAATCATACTAAGGTTTGGTCAAGTATATAAAGGAAAGACATGATATCTGACACTCAAGAAGATACAAATAGAGCTCTAGATGAACTTAATTTGTATCAATCAGGTCTTATTAACACCCAGTTGCGGCAAAGTTAAACCTACTTATTTGTTTAATGATTCTATTAGACAAGATTAAAAGATAACTAACCCATAGAATTTACCACTCACAGCTTGATGTTGAAAACTGATGCAAAAGTGGATATTGTCATTATCTAGTTTGTTTATTTAGTTTGAATAAGTCTTCCTAATTTTTCTTCAGAAAGTGGGGTAGTTGCTATTTTTTAGGATTATTTGTTGAGTCAGTTTAGCCCATGATTTCAGTTAGAGTACAGTACGTGGGTATCATGTTACAATCCCACTACTTAGATTTCCATTATATATTTGTATGTTTTTTCAATGAATTGCAACATCCAAAAAGTTATTTTTCAATCCTCAATCACTTTGTTATCTACTTCTACTTTTCAAGTTTAGTTATCCTTGCTCCATTTTCTATTCTTCTCCAACAAATTAGGGTATTAGAGCCAGGTTCGATTGGTGTTCTTGTGAAGTTGAGACCATTGCTGAAGCGAGGGGATCTCAGAAGCTGTAGCTATTTTCATCATGGCCAACAATTCAAATTCATTGAATTTGTCCCAATCCTTGGTGCCCATATTCAATGGAGAGCTATGTTTTTTGGAGTATTAAAATGAAGACTTTCTTTGTCTCACAAGATTTGTGGGATCTTGTGGAGAATGGGTTTGCTAAAACCGAGAAGTCACTAGAAGCAGAAGTGAAGGATCTTCGGAAGAAGGACGCAAATGCATTGCTTGTATTGCAGCAAGCGGTAACTGACTCCATCTTTCCTTAGCTTGCAAATGTTACAAGGTCAAAGGAAGCTTGGACCATTCTAAATCAGGAGTTCTATGGAGATGACAAGATAACAATTGTGAAACTTCAAACTTTGTGTAAAGAATTTGAAAACTTATGCATGAAAGGAAGTGAGTCAATTCAAGATTTCATTAGCAAAGTTTATGTCATTATTAATCAATTGAAAATTTATGGTGATCAAGTTGATGATCGTAAGGTTGTTGAGAAGGTTTTGAGGTGTCTACCATCTAAGTTCGATCATGTTGTAGTTGTTATTGAAGAGTCAAACGATTTCTCTATTTATTCTCTTAATCAATTGATGGGCTCACTTTTAGCACATGAAGAGAGAATAAAAAGGTTTGCAGAGAAAAACATGGAGCAAGCCTTTCAAACAAAGGTAGAGATCTCTAGCCAAGCAAAAAATTATCACAGAGGCTCGACTAGTAGAGGAAAAGGTAGAGAAGGCTACTGTGGCCTTGGACGAGGGCAAGGGGGATTAAGCTCAACTCGGCAAAAGTACGAGAATGAAGAAAGAGACAACCAGAAGCAGAATTATAAGGGGAGGCAGTGCCATTTTTGCAAGAAACATGGGCACATCGAGGTAAATTGTTGGGAGAAGGCAAAGCAACAAGCAAACTTTGTTGAAGAAAAAGAAGTTGAAGAGAACTTGTTCCTCACCTATTTAATTCCAAATGTTAGCAATTTTGACTTGTGGTTTCTTGATAGTGGATGTAGTAATCATATGATAGGTGTTAGAAGCCTTTTTCGGAATATCGATGAGACAGTGAAGTTGAAAGTTCGGCTTGGAGACAAGAAGCAAGTGCAAATTGAAGGCAAGGGAACAATTGCAATAAGAACCAAGTCAGGTATTGAAAAGTTGATTCATGATGTTTATTACATACCTAACTTGGCACATAATTTGCTTAGTGTGGGTCAATTGGTAGAGAATGGGTATTTGGTTGAATTTCATGATGGCTTGCGTGAAATTAAGTGAAGTAAATCTGATATGCCTCTTGCTAAGATTCCCATGGCTAAAAATAAAATGTTTCCACTTGAGATCTCATGTTTGAATGACCTTGCACTTGTTGCTAATGTTAAAGGTGACTCCAAGTTTTGGCATTTGAGATATGGGCATTTGCATTTTAATGGGCTAAAATTGTTGAGTCAAAAAAAGATGGTTTATGGTTTGCCCTCTATTGTTCCTATTGATGATGTTTGTGAAGGTTGTGTTTACGGGAAGCAGCACAGAAATGCATTTCCAATTGGGAAAGCATGGAGAGTAAAGGAGCCTTTGGAGTTAGTACATGTTGACATTTGTGGGCCAATGAAAAATTCGTCTTTGAACAAGAGCAAATATTTTTTATTGTTCATTGATGATTTTTCTCATATGAGTTAGGTATTTTTTCTTGCTCAGAAGTCAAAAGCTTTTGAAAGATTTCAAGAATTCAAAGCCTTTACAGAGAAAGAATGTGGCCATCAAATAAAAATTCTTCGAACAGTTAGGGGAGGAGAATTTTTACCAAATGAGTTTGGTAGTTTTTACAAGTAGAATGGGATCAAGAGGCAACTTACTGTAAGAAGAACTCTAGAGCAGAACGAGGTTGCTGAAAGAAAGAATAGAACAGTTGTGGAGATGGCAAGGAGCATGTTGAATGAGAAGAAACTTCCACAAATCTTCTGGGCTGAAGCTGTTGCTACTGCTGTTCATATTCTCAACATTTCTCCAACAAAGGCAGTGCATAATGGAAATGGAAGCCCAATGTAAGTAGTTTGAGAGTTTTTTGTTGCATTTCTTATGCCATGATAGCTTTTAATGATCATATAAAGATGGACCAGAAAAGTGAGAAGTGTATTTTTGTTGGATATAGTTGTGAGTCCAAGGGTTATCGTTTGTATAATCCTATTACTAAGAAGCTGATTATTTGTAGGGATGTTGTTTTTGATGAGAACAGTGCATGGGACTGGAAAGAAGGAAAAATTTAGCACTTGTCATATAAAGAAAGTGAATCCACTTAGCCACAAGCAGAGGAGATAAAAATGGGCCAACAATCTTCTCCTACACTAAGTTGTCCAACAATGTCACCACAATCTGCTCCAACTCCTCAACCTAGAAGCATGTTCACTAAAAGCATGTCTGGTGCTATTATTAGGAAGGAAAAACCTTGGTATCAAGTTTATGACCCAGATAGTTATGCACTTCTGGTGGCAGAACCTACTTGCTATGATGAGGCATATGGAAAACAGGAATGGGAAAATTCCATGAAGGAGGAGATAGGTTCCATTGAGAAGAACAACACTTGGGAGCTTGTAGATAAACCAGAAAGGAAGACTCCAATTGGTGTGAAGTGGGTCTATCGAGTGAAGTATAAAACAAATGGGAGTGTGCAAAAATACAAGTCAAGACTTGTGGCCAAAGGCTATGTGCAGAAACATGGTATTGATTTCCTTGAAACTTTTTTTCTTGTTGCTAGATTTGAGACTGTTAGATTGGTGATAGCATTAGCAGCTCAAATGAAATGGAAGATTTTTAAGTTTGATGTTAAATCTGCTTTCTTGAATGGTTGGTTGGAAGAAGATGTCTATGTTGAGCAGCCCGAAGGATTCATTGTTCGAGGCAAAGAAGAACAGGTGTACAAGCTTAAGAAAGCTTTTTACAGACTCAAGCAAACCTTGCAAGCCTAGTATGGTAGACTTGATTCATACTTGCATGATAATGATTTTCATCGCAGTGAAAATGAGCCCACTTTGTATGTGAAGGTGAAAGGAGGTGATATTCTCATTATTTGTGTTTATGTGGATGACATTATTTACGCTAGTTCTTCTAACATTCTTATTGAAAAGTTTAAGAAGAATATGTCTACTGAATTTGACATGTCTGATTTGAGGCTACTGCATTATTTTCTTGGGTTACAAATTTACCAAACTAAATATGGTATTTTTGTTTCACAAGAGTACGCATTGGATTTGCTAAAAAAATTCAACATGCAGAATTGCAAGATGTCTACTACTCCTATGAATACAAATGAGAAGTTGACAGTAGATGATGGAACTCCAAGAGCTAATGAGAAGTATTTTAGAAGTATGGTTGGCGGATTAATTTATCTGACTCACACTAGACCTGATATCATGTTCTCAGTTAGCTTGGTTTCAAGGTTCATGTATAATCCCTCTGTGCATCATCTTGGAACAACAAAACGAATTCTTCGTTACATCCGAGCAACAAGCAACTTTGGAATTTGGTATAAGTCAGTGCCTAACTTTAAATTGCTTGGTTTTATTGACAGTGATTGGGCAGGTGTCATAACTTCAATTTTTAATAGAATTTTATTTTATTTTTAATTTAACTAATATGTTTTGTCTTTGTTTGCCTTGTTAGGTTCATGAGCAAAAAAAAAAAGGGGAGATGAGGGAAATTAAGATGAGGGACTCAATTGAAGAGATCAAAAGTTGGGGGGTAAAATCCTTTAAGCTATAAATTTAGCCCATTAAAACCAAACCAACACCAACCCA